CTAGGGCTTGCTCCTCTTGGGTGCTTGGGCGCTCTAGACAGTTGGTGGTGCTTCAAAGCTCAATCATTATGGTGTAAAGCTCCAGGCAAGTGTCAAGGTCTCCAATTAGGTTGTGGAGATTGCCCCAAGCAATTTGTACGGGTTCCGGTGACCGCCCCAAGGGTTGCCAAAGTGTACGAGGGTGACCGCCCCCAAGGGTTGCCAGTTGTACGGGTTTGGTGACCGCCCTCAAGGGTCCCTTAGTGGAATCACGACATCTTGCAGTGTGCGAGGGCGTGAGGAGATTACGGTGGCCCTAGTGGCATTTTGGGGACCATTGTGCCTCCACACCGCTCCACACCGAGATTAGCATCCGCAAGGGTGTGAACTTCGGGATACATCATCGTCTCTGTGTGCCTCGGTTATCTCGTACCCGAGCCCTTTACTTATGCACTTTACTTTGTGATAGCCATATTGTTTCATGTCATATATCTTGCTATCACTTAGTTGTCTATCTTGCTTAGCATAAGTTGTTGGTGCACATAGGTGAGCCTAGTCGTTTTAGGTTTTCTGCTTGACAAATTAAACACTGGTTTTATACCACATTTGTTTAAGCCTAAACCGTGATTATTTTAAAGTGCCTATTCACCCTCCCCCCTCTAAGCGACATCCACGATCTTTCACTTGGTATCAAAGCCTCTTTGCTCTTTGTTTGTCTTAACTGCCTAGAGAGTAAAGATGTCGACTAGGGGATTAGGATTATCTGATACTCTTAGTTTTGATGGCACATATTTTGATGTTTGGGTTATTCGCATGCTTAATCTCTTTAAGGTCATGGACCCAAATTTAGAGCGAATTGTAGATATGGGGTTTTCTCCTCCAAAGGATTCTCTAAGATTATCTTTAGAGGATGAGAAAAACTCTTATCTCAACGCTCAAGATTATAATGTGTTTTTCGATGCTTTGAGGAATGTAGTTATATTTCAACGCATGCCGTTCCGGGATGCTCATGAGTTGTGGACAAAGCTACAAGATAAATATGGTGTGTCCAAGATTTGTGGGGATGATTGTTCTCCCTCCACCTCCAGCCGTGTTGTGTTCTCAACTTCTTCTACTTCACCTACATGTGGATTGACACAAGGTGATGATATGGTGAGTGATAGTGGGCTTATTGTTGACGATTCTTCATCACTATCTTATTGCAATGCTTCATCTTTGGACTTTGACACTTCGAGCATCCTACATGTTTCATGCTTGTGTTGATAGTCCTTGCATAATATGTAGAGATGGATTGACTAAATCTCATGATGATATGCTTGCTATATCTTGTTGCCATGATAAAAATGCATGTATTTCCTTGAGTTGTTGTGCTAACAATGTAGAGGAAACCCAACACTCCATGGAACAAGATGTGGTCTTGAATGTTGCTTCAAGGGATCTTACATCATCATCTATTGCTTCTCACTTTTGCCTTATGGCTAAGGCTTTGAAGGTATCTCCTACTTCGAATCCCAATATATCTTGTGATGATGATGTTGATGATGATAAGAATGATGATGATGTTGATAATGATGAAGAGAATGATAATGTTACCTCCTTAAAAAATTAAGGGGGAAATGATTTTTAAAGCTCTTCATAAGAATAAAATTGCTCGTTCCAACTTCATGGAAATCATGTCTATTGTCATTAAGAGCAAGAAATACATTCAGGAGTTGGAATCTCATCTCGAGGAGCATGAGGTCACCATTGATAAAATGGAAGGCCATGAGCGTGATTATGCTAGTGAGATCACGGACCTCTCTCAAGCTCTTGAACTTGAACAAACCACCATGGAATCTCTTGAGGAGACTTTTGCTCTAGAACTATCTAGAATAAAGGAATCCCATGATAGGGCTCTTGAAGTGGCCAATGATTTCAAAACTAAAAATGAGAAGCTTGAAGTTGCACATGCTAGACTCCTTGAGGACTTTGAGCGCCTCGAAAATGGCTCAAGGGTCATTAAGAGTGAGCTCATCAAACTCACTGAGTCTCATGCATCAATTATTTTAAAGCGCCTATTCACCCCTCTCTAGGCGACATCCATGATTTTTCAGACACAAGACATCACCAAGGTGTTCATGGTAATAAAATATAAATGATTAATGTGATACTCGTATAAATTCACATTAGGTTTGCGATTACAACGAGATTAATGGAGGAGTTGATGTTTAGGATGTGGACGATCATACTAATGATGATGGTTGATGGCGTGAACTCCGTGACTGAAGGTATGGCGAGGTGGTGCCTTTCGATGGAGAACACATCCTGGTTTCTTCCCATGTGCTTATATCTTCATATGGCAGGCTTTTATGATGTCAAATTAGCATATTTTGCACAAAAACATAGGTGTTTTCATTCAATGCTCCAAATCCCCTGATTCCTTGGGATCCTGGTGAAATCTGACAAAAAGGTGCGCGCAAACGTGGAAAATACAAAAGATCACACGTCTATGACGCAAAAAAGCTAAGAAAAACATAACACGAAATGCACTAATGATGGATATAAATGATGTTTGAGCTTCTCTTTTTTGCTCATTTATGCATTGTAACAACAATAAATTTCTACTATATTATATATAAATCAAGACATAATTGAAGTCAAGGGATATTAGAGGCTTTGCAAAGCTTAACACCGTTAAAATCCAAATTTTCATAAGCTGGAAGAATAGGAAAAGTAATTTCACGAGGTTTCTTCTTACCGGTGTTATTTCCACCACTTTCCATAAGCATGTTTCTGATACAGAAAAACATAAGCTCAAAAGAAGTGACCCAAACATTTTTGGGAAGGGGTAGAAGAATTTAGAGGAGGGACTTGTGGATAGATTAGATGTGGAAAGTTTCATTTTATTTTAAACCCTCCGTTTGGTGTCGAATGAGTATTACACATGAGAATTTGAGAGATATCTTTATTCCCTTGTTTGGTTGGCGGGAATCCTATATCCTATATACCTAAATAGTTGGTCCCCACTAACTCAAATATCTTAACATGTAACTATGCCAACTCACCATGTCATCATAAATGTGTCATTAAATTTAGTTCTCTCAACATGCAATTATGCCAACTCACAATGCCACTATGCATGAAAAAAAACTTAGTACAGAATATGCATGTCACTAAATTCAATATATATTTTAGGACTATATAATAATAAATATAATAAATTATATGTACTTTAGTTTCAATTCTCATATGACTAATCAAAATACTAAAGTTTCATACTGCCAAGTCTCAATAAAACAATTGCACCAATTCCTGCAGCAACGTGTTGGTATCTTCTCTAGTTCATTAATATTAGCTGAGAGACGGTAAAATAACTTATGAGCAAAGGTTAATACGTTCTTCATAAAGTAATTCCCTCCCAAATCCCACCCACTCTTGTTCATAAATTGTTTTGTCCCTACTAGGCATCCAGTTTTTATCCCAGATCATTGTTGATGATCCATTGCCTAATCGGTTTCGGTGTATATGACCATCACATATTGTACCAGAGATTGAAATACCGATGCCTTGATTGCTGACATGAATAAGGATCCAACACACATCTAACAAAATTAATATCAAATCAAGTAACTATATCTAAAGATATTAATATTTCAGTAACCATCAAGACACAATATCATAATCATCTTCAGCAGCTCATATGATCATTATACGAAAATATGTCACAATCATGTCGGGGAGCTCATGCGAGCATTCAAAAGTGGTCGATTGTTGCATATCCACCACTCACAAGCTTGCATCGTCTTGGGAGAAAGGCTAGTAAATATGGTAAGAGAACATGTTCTATAGGTTGGATTTGAAATATGGTTGGTTTCCGATGGCTTCATCATTTTCAAGATAGGTAGTTTCGTATGGTTAGTAGGTACTCCCTCTGTTCGGAATTACTTGTCTCGGAAATGGATGTAACTAGAACTAAAATACGTCTAAATACATCCATTTCAGTGACAAGTAATTCCGAACGGAGGGAGTAACATATTAGTATGATTTTTCAAGAATCCTATAGGGTTAAAGAGAATGAGTGCTTAGTATGTGATATATGCACGTCTTGACCGTGAGTCTACAAGAGTGAAGGGGTGATGAGAGAGGTGCTGATTGCTGAAGTATGTCTTTGTTGACTCCAAGGATGTGCTTGAACCCTTCTTGTCATTGCTCCGCTACGTTCGTTTCGATACTTCTGAAAGTACGCACGTATGTATCTATGGTCCATTAGGTTAGAGTCATTCTCTTAAAACCTGGAAAGATGATATTCATTAGTTTACAATTCTATTTTATTTGTGTTAATCTTTGAAATTGCAATAATCCTGTCTTAACCTGGAAAGATGTGTAATTCAATTGTTCTTAATCTGTGAAATGTGCGTTGTAATATGGAGACTATTCATATGTCTCCAACATAGTTTGCCTGGTCGGCAGGGCGTCGCTAACAGAAAGAAACGAGTAGAAAGATAATGGAATTCCATGCACGCAAGCGACATCACCATCAAAATTCCACGTCCGTCCATCCATTAATGCGGCGATCAAAGTTTGGTCGCACATCAACGCTGAGCTGGTGCACGTATGCATGCATGCTTGCTTGCATGCGCGCAGGAAGCGGGAGAAAAATCTGACCCAGAGAGCCATCGAAGCTGAGTTGAGAGGAATTTTCCACGCTTACTTCCAGCCCGATCAACGTCCGGTGCACCGGCATGTGCACGAGCACCGGCATTTTCCATGCTTACACGAGATCGGAACATGCGTACAAAGTACACGTACTAGATCGCTCTCGAGATCTGCCGAACTTGCTTGTATTGCGTAGCTAGACTAAGTAGAGCGATCATGGACTCGTGGAAAGTTGGGCACGTCTGCTGTGGCTTGCTGGCTATATAAAGACGTGCACTGCACCAGCTTCTGGCAAACACACACACCACTACACGAGCAGTGTGACACACTAGCTAGTAACTAAATCACCAGGCACCAGCTGAGCGGGCTCTGCTTCGTTGCCCAAGATGAGAGGAGTTGCGGTGGTGGCCATGCTGGTCGCGGCCTTCGCCGTGTCTGCACAAGCGGAGCAGTGCGGCTCGCAGGCCGGCGGGGCGACGTGCCCCAACTGCCTCTGCTGCAGCAAGTTCGGCTTCTGCGGCTCCGGCTCCGACTACTGCGGCGACGGCTGCCAGAGCCAGTGCAAGGGCTGCGGCGGCGGCGGCACCCCGGTACCGGTACCGACCCCCTCCGGCGGCGGCGTGTCCTCCACCTTAACACCAACAAGTTTACACGGGCCCTCCGGTTGCGATGGCCATGGTATGAATGGAAGGAGTCCACCAAGATGTGGGTGGGGATGGGAAACCCATGTGACGAGGAGGACTTAAATTTTTTCTATGCATCCACCACTATCACCATTGGCAACGGTGCGAAGACCCCCTTTTGGGACTCACCTTGGCTCCTTGGGCGCAAGCCAAAAGACATTGCCCCGCTCACTCATGAAGCGTCAAAGAGAAAAAATTGGAAGGTGCGGGAGGCCCTCTCACACAATGCATGGATCCACAAGATCAAACCCCCCACCAACATCTCCGTGGAGCACATAACGCAGTTCTTCACTCTTTGGGCGCTTTTGCACGAGGTCCAACTTGATGAACTCACCGAGGATGACATTGTATGGAAGCACACGACTAGTGGGACCTACTCGGCGGCATCTGCTTACAAGGCGCAATTCCTAGGGATGGTTCTCACACCTTTGGATAAAATGATTTGGAAGGCTTGGGCCCCCTCAAAAGTCAAGTTCTTCGCTTGGCTGGCGTTGCAAGACAGAATTTGGACCGCCGATAGATTGGCCAAACGCGGGTGGCCCAATTGTGATCTCTGCCCTCTTTGCAAGAGAGTGCAGGAATGTGGGTCTCATCTCTTCTTCAAATGCCGCTACACACGAAGGCTTTGGTCCTTGATCATTGACAAATACCACATTCACGGTCTTGACACCAATGGTTGGCCCCTCTTCGACTCGGTTGAGGCTTGGTGGGCAAGTACTTGCGACAATGGCACGCCAAACCGCCAAGCCAAGGCGTCCCTCACCATGCTTGTTACGTGGACCGTCTGGAATGAGCGAAACGCAAGGGTCTTCAAGCACAAGAGCGCCCCTCCACCTACATTGCTTGACTACATCGATTCTGAGGCTAACCTTTGGGTCATCGTCGGTGCAAAAAAATTAGGGTCTCTTATTTTGCGAGAGTGATCTCATGCCGTGTATTGTGTGACTTGTAACAAACTTTTTTCTCTCTTAATTAATGGATGAGGCAAAGCTTTTGCCTCCGTTTCAAAAAAAAAATTATCTCGCAGTCGCTCTTCGACCAGATGCTGCTGCACCGCAACGATGCGGCGTGCCAGGCCAAGGGGTTCTACAACTACGGCGCCTTTGTTGCCGCTGCCAACTCGTTCTCGGGCTTCGCGACCACGGGTGGCGCCGACGTCAGGAAGCGCGAGGTGGCCGCGTTCCTCGCTCAGACCTCCCACGAGACCACCGGCGGGTGGCCGACAGCGCCCGACGGCCCCTACTCGTGGGGCTACTGCTTCAACCAGGAGCGTGGCGCCACCTCCGACTACTGCACGCCGAGCTCGCAGTGGCCATGCGCGCCGGGCAAGAAGTCTTCGGGCGCGGGCCCGTCCAGATCTCACACAACTACAACTACGGGCCAGCGGGACGGGCCATCGGCACCGACTTGCTAAACAACCCGGACCTTGTGGCCACGGACGCCACTGTGTCATTTAAGACGGCGCTATGGTTCTGGATGACGCCGCAGTCACCCAAACCTTCCAGCCACGACGTGATCACAGGCCGGTGGAGCCCCTCGGGCGCCGATCAGGCGGCGGGGAGGGTGCCTGGGTACGGAGTGATCACCAACATTATCAACGGTGGCCTCGAGTGCGGGCGCGGGCAGGACGCCCGTGTCGCCGACCGGATCGGGTTCTACAAGCGCTACTGCGACCTTCTCCGCGTCAGCTATGACAACAACCTGGACTGCTATAACCAGAGGCCGTTCGCATAGTCAATCGTCTATATGGTACGAGAAGATGGGCAATAAATAAATGCTCTCTAAATATTGTATCAATGGCGTTGCGATAGACCTCGCCTAGTACAAGCGAATAATGATGCGATCCACCGCAAGATGCGTGTGTAGTCGATTATAATGCAATAAATGATGTGTTTCTATCCGAGTTTTCTTTAAATGAAATGCATTTAACCTGACTTCAAACTAATGAGACCATCAACCGGCTAAGATACAAAGTGCAGATTATTACAACGGCTGCGCATGAGGGGAAAAAAGATTGAAAAATTACACACATAGATCGCCCAAGGCCGAAACTACACAAGCTGGCCAAAGAGCGAAACTGCCAACATAATGGGAAACAAAACCATGACGTCGAAGAGCACAATGCCGACCAGAACAACGGGAATAGAGGAGTCCGCAGACCTCCAACAAGCAGTGAAGAGGACAATCAAGCTTTGCAGGGAGAAACCATTGCCATAGCCCAGTCGTGTCAATGCCAGAGGGGAGACCACTATCTCCCCTACATCTAGCATGAGGATGCCGCTCATAGGCCGGCAAGCACGAATGCAGCAGGGCAACAACCGCTGAAGGGGTACGAAGGCACATATCTCCCCACCTCCACCGCCGTCGGACATCCGAGGACGCATTGCACCGACCACCACCAACCCACATATAGCAGCACTCCAACCCCAACTCTACCCCAAGCCGACGCTTTCAAGGAGGACCACGTCGCAAGTGCGCCGCCACCGGCCGGCCAAAGGCCTAGCTATTCACCAGGGGACTAAAGGAGGGTAGGGGGAAGGAAGAGGAAACTCAACATGCCCTCGGGAGGGGAATAATGAAGCCAGCGCGCCGCCGCCGTCGTCGAGGTCGATGCGGAGTCGGCGAGGGGATTTCCCCGTTCTAGGTTTCCGCCGCACACCCTCCTTATACTTATATAGGCGTATTATCAGTGAAAATTGTAGTGAAACTTAGACAATGAAGACTGTAAATTGTCAAATGTGCCTTGTGTCGTGGTTCTAAATCTGACAGTAGAATGGGGGTAGGTATGGAGAGGCAAGATCCTAGCTATGGAGTAGTTGTATACGCAAGGGATTTACGAGTTGAGGCCCTTCTCGGAGGAAGTAACAGCCCTACGTCTCGGAGCCCGGAGGCGGTCGACTGGATTATGTGCGTATGAGTTACAGGAGTGCGAACCCTTTACACTGAGGAGGGGGTGGCTTATATAGTGTCTGCCAGACCCCTCCGTCCCTTAGTTATGTAGGGTTTAAAGTACATAAAGATGGGCGTTACCAGTAACCCTTACATAAAGTGTCATCATGGCCATAAAGACTACTTAATTACAGGCCGTTTGGATGCAGAGTGGCTCTTGATCTCCTGGTGGTCGAGTGAGTCTTCATGGTCGAGTGCCTTCGAGTCCGTCGAGTGGAATCCCTCTTAGTCGACTGGAAGGTAGCTTCTTCTGAAGATGTCCTTGGGGAGGGTACTTTGGACAGGCCCGTGACCCTACCCTGGGTATATGACTTCATCATTAGCCCCCGAATGGATCGAGGTTTGAGTGAGGAAGGAGTTGATAATCTTTCCGACCCGTTTTTGTGTTCCGAACATGTCTCATCTTGGATCAATACTCTTTTGTAACGATGGCAGCAACTTTTCTTTCAGTCGCCTTGATCCATTCCTTTCTTCTGTCGAGTGAACTTTTTGAACTTAGTGAACTTCCGAGCGACGGATCACAGGAAATCTATCGTCTGACAAATTGATCTGCTGTTAGCGGATTTTGTGGGATCCGAATTTTGGGAAGCGCGCGAAGCGGGGCGGACCGCGGTACTCAGATGGGATAAGGCGTGGACGCCTCGATTCTCGCGCCGCCTTTTTCGCCACGTATCACGCGTGCGCGACTGTTTCGGGATGTGACAGGACCGCCCGGGCCTACCTGTCAGCCACTCGGAAGCGACTTTATATAAAGCGTCGGGCGAGGGTTTTTGAACAGTGCCTTCTCATTCTTCTCTCTGCCCTCTTCGCCTCCGCCTGCTGCGCCTGCTCTCGCCTCCGCCCATCCACTCCTCGCGTTCTTTGCCGGCGACAATGGTGAAGGAGAAGACGGCGGCCTTGGAGCGCGCGAAGAAGGCGACGGCGACGGGGAAAGCGAAGGGGAGAGCGCCCAGTCGGGGCGGATCTTCGTCAAGGTCCCGCCTGCTGCAAGGTTGGGTCCAAGGGGATTGGATCCGCTCGACCATCACCGAGGCGGATCTCAATGACCTGGCTAACGAGGGTCTGATCTCCCACGGGTCAGCAAGGCTCCCGGGGTCCTAGTGGCAACCGCAGCCGCAGGAGGGTGAGTGCGTTCTCCTAGCCACACATGTAGATCGTGCGTTCTCTCTGCCGCCGAGTGTTTTCTTCTGAGGATTTCTAAACTTCTTTGGGGCGCAACTCCACCATTTCACTCCCAATTCTATTGCCTATCTTGCTGCTTTTGTGTCCATGCACGAGAACTTCCTGGGTTGTCGACCACACTGGGGTCTCTTTAAGCACATATTCACCTGTCGCTCATAGACGGTGAAAAAGGCGAGTCCGGACAATGACAGGACTAGGGTTATCCAGATGTGCGGGGGTCTTGGGATTCAGATGAGGAGTAAGAGCACTTTCCCGGCCATGACCCTTCCTGAGTCGGTCAGAGGGTGGCAGTCGACCTGGTTCTACTGCCAAGACGAGTCGACTCCGGGGCAGTCGACTGGTCTCCCTCCGTTCTCCATGGACCGAGTGAACAAACCCTCTTCTCTGAAGGTGCTTCCTGAGGAGAAAGCTCAGGTAAGAATGTTGATGGAGCGCGTAGTCCAGCTTGTCTGAGACGGAGTGACGGGTATGGATCTTCTGGAGGTCTTCCTTAGACGGCGCATCCAACCGCTTCAGTACCGAGGCCACCCGATGTGGCTGTACTGTGGTACTGAAGACACCACTCGGGTCCATCCAGAAGCGGTCGACGACACCACCCTGGAGAGGTGGGGGGCCGCAATCACAGGGAATAAAGACAACCCACGAGGGGCTAGGAGGATCCCACCACTCGACCATTCCTACACACCGAACACGGTATGACCACTTATCTCCGATTGTAATCTTGCTTTATTCATTCTGCTTCGCTGCGAATTGGTCGATTGACCTTTGTTTTGTTTTGTTGTCTGTCAGGCCACCACCGAGTTATATTTGATGCCCAATGGAGCGCAAACGCCGACTGAAGAGGAGGAAGGAAGCGGGGGCGAAAGCCCGGAGGAGTGGGATTTGAATGCCGATGATGATGATGAGGGTGACGACTCTGGTGAGGAGGAAGATGAGGAGGCAGAGGAGGAGGAAGTTGTACCTCCTCGCTCGGAAAGACGCTCGAAGCTTGTTCATGATCCTGCGGCCGAGCGTGGTAAGGGGGTCGCGACCGTCACGCAATCGACCAAGCGCCCTCGGACTACTTCTCCGGCACCGACTGAGAAAGCTCCGAAGCAATCTCGAGTGGTGCCGTCGAAGCCGGCGAAAGTCTTGCCGAAGATGAAGATGATGATCCCCACAATCTCAGGGTAATGGTGTAACTTAAGTTTTCCCGTTTCATGAACTTATTCTTGGTCGACTCATGAGCTAATCGACTGACTTATGGAACTGCAGTGCTGCTACTTCTGATACCTCGGCCAGGGCTGAAGACCACGAGATGGAGGATGCTGTTACTTCAAAACCTGGTATGACTCTTGTAGTTCTGTCTTTAGTCGATTGACTTCTTGTCTCTAATTTTGATTCTTTTCCGCAGCTTCATCTAACGTCGTTATTGACCTTCCTGATGACGACAACGAGGAACCACTGAGGCAGAGGAGGAGTAGGAAAGCGTCTGCTGGCAAGGCGACTCAGGACGTGCCAGCACCCGAGATGTTGATCGTGGAGGGAGACAATGTCACTTGGCCTATCGTATCCTTTGCGGTGTCGTTGACGAGTGCTCGCCCTTCATCGTCGAGTGCTGCTCCACCTTCGCTTTTCTCAACCCACCACGTCCCAGAAGACCAAGCTAGCGCTGCTAAAGAAGCAATACGCCAGGTGGGGGTCATGATGGAGCAAGTGAAGGCAACCCGAGAAGCCAGCCAGGCAGCCTATGACGCCAGTTCAGCTCTTCAGAGTAACGTTCAGGTCAGTCGGCCACCGCCTGTTCTGTTAGGATATGATATCTGAAAATCCTTCTTTCTGAAATTCCTAGAGTTTGTCCTACACCTGCTGGGTGTGTCGATTGAAATTCCGGGTTAGTGGGGGCACGCTGAGTGCACCCACTGGGTGTAGTCCCCAAGGCTATGGTGGACTGCTGGCGGTCGACCATAGTCTTTATGTCTTAAGTTTTTTTCCTTACTTGACTAGGTCGAATGGATTCATAGACCGGTGGGGGCACGCTGAGTGCACCCACTGGGTGTAGTCCCCGAGATTGTGGTCGACTGCTGGCAGTCGACTATAGTCTGAAGAACACCTCCTGTTTTTTTTTTGTGTTGGTCGACTGGTCGACTCTAACTGATAAAACTAGTGGGGGCACGCTGAGTGCACCCACTGGGTGTAGTCCCTGAGACTATGGTCGAATGTTTGTATTCGGCCGTAGTCTTAGAAACGCTATAATTTTTCCTTAGTCACTCGGAAGTGAATTGTCTTTGACATCTGTCGATTGGTTCTTCGTAGAAATCCTGCGACCTTGCGGCTCGTTATACTGAGATGGAGAACAAACACATCCAGCTCGAGCTTGACCTGAAACTGGCCCAGGAGAACTTAACGAAGGCGAAGGAGGAAGCTAAAGGTATGTTTGGTGAGGCCCTCGACGACTGCCTTTGCCTCTCGTTTGTTTCAGAGTCTGATCTCACTGTAACTTTGCAGACAAAGTGAATGATGCCCTGAAGAAGAAAGACCTTGACTTGGCTGAGATGCAGAAAGCGGCTTTAGAGAAGGCCAAGCTCGCAGATGAGAAGCTGGCTTCAGTCACCAAGCTCGAA